AGGCATGGAATATTCATGATAACCTAAACTCCCAGGTTAAAGAGACAGGAAATTAACTGTAATTGATTTAGGAGGGCATACTTAGGGGCATGGTGCTGGAGCTTGAGCACCTCAATGATGTCACAAGCGAAACCATGAAGGGCCACCCAAGACGGGACAGTCGTGGCAGAGAGGTCAGACCAAGCACGATGCCTGGGGAAGGCAATGGCAAACCAGCCCAGTATTCTTGCCAAGAAAACTAAATGGACCAGTACAACCAGAGATATGTCAGTATGCCATTGGAAGATGGGACTCCCAGGTCGGAAGATGGCCAAAATGCTACTTGGGAGGAGCAGAGAATAAGTTCAACTAGCCCCAGATGTGATGATGCAGCTAGCTCAAAGCCGAAAGGAAGGCTAGCGGCCAATGGTGCTGGAGGTGAACGACAAATCCGATGCTCAACACACCATAGGAACCTGGAATGTAAGATATTTATTTATTTATTTATTTATTGCATTTGTTGACCGCCGTTCTCAGCCCCTTAGGGCGACTCACGGCGGTGTACAACATATAAAAACAGTTTACAATACATATAATTAAACTAAATCATCCGCGTCGTCTCATCATAGAATCATAACCCAATCTCATAGTCCATATTCCGTTCCAGTCGTCATTGCCAATTGTTATAGCACTTAGTTAAACGCCTTTTCGAATAACCATGTTTTTAGGCTCTTACGGAATGCCATAAGGGATATATGAGCCAGGGCAAACTGGATGTTGTTATTGGTGAGATGTCAAGACTAAAGATAGACATTCTGGGGGTCAGCAAACTGAAATTGACCATAATGAGCCACTTCACATCAGATGACCCCCAGATCTACTACTGCGGACAAGAGGAACACCGAAGAAATGGAGTAGCCATCATAATTAATAAGAAAGTCGCTAAAGCAGTGCTTGGATACAACCCAATAAATGACAGAATGATCTCAATTCAAGTGCAAGGAAAGCCTTTTAACATTTCAGTGATCCAAATATACGCCCCAACCACAGCTGCTGAAGAAGTAGAAGTAGATCTGTTCTATGAGGATCTGCAGCACCTACTGGTTAATACACCAAAAAGAGACATTATTTTCATTACAGGAGACTGGAATGCCAAGGTGGAAAGTCAAATGACAATTGGGATCACAAGCAAGCATGGTCTGGGACAACAAAATGAAGCGGGACACAGGCCGATAGAATTTTGCCAGGAAAACTCATTGTGTATAACAAACACTCTCTTCCAACAATCTAAAAGACGGCTCTATACATGGACTTCACCAGGTGGTCAACACTGAAATCAGATTTAGTAAATAGAGTCCCAGAAAAACTATGGACAGAAGTCTGCAACATTGTTCAGGAGGCGGCAACAAAATACATTCCAAAGAAAAAGGAAACCAAGAAGGCAAAATGGTTGTCTGCTGAGACACTGCAAGTAGCACAAGAAAGGAGGAAAGCAAAAGTTAACAGTGATAAGCAAATATATGCTCAATTAAATGCACAATTCCAGAGGTTAGCCAGAAGAGATAAGGAACTATTTTTAAAAAAGCAATGCATGGAAGTGGAAGAAGACAACAGAATAGGAAGGACAAGAAACCTGTTCCAGAAAATTAGAAACATTGGAGGTAAATTTCAGGCAAAAATTGGCATGATAAGAAACAAAGTTGGCAGGGACCTAACAGAAACTGAAGAAATCAAGAGAAGGTGGCGAAACTATACAGAAGATCTGTATAGGAAGGTTAATAATATTGAGGATAGCTTTGACGGTGTGGTGAATGAATTAGAACCAGACATCCTGAGGAGTGAGGTTGAATGGGCCTTAAGAAGCATTGCTAACAACAAGGCAGCAGGAGACGACGGGATCCCAGCTGAACTGTTTAAAATCTTGAAAGATGATGCTGTCAAGGTGATGCATGCCATATGCCAGCAAATATGGAAAACACAAGAATAGCCACCAGACTGGAAAAAATCAACTTATATCCCCATACCAAAAAAGGGAAATGCTAATGACTGCTCAAACTTCCATACAGTAGCCCTTATTTCTCATGCCAGTAAGGTAATGCTCAAGATCCTGCAAGGAAGACTCCAGCAATACATGGAGAGAGAATTGTCAGATATACAAGCTGGGTTCAGAAAAGGCAGAGGAATGAGAGACCAAATTGCCAATATCCGCTGGATAATGGAGAAGGCAGGGAGTTTCAGCAAAACATCTAATTCTGTTTTATTGACTATTCTAAAGCCTTTGACTGTGTGAATCATAATGAATTGCGGCAAGTTCTTGGTGGTATGGGGATACCAATCTCAATAAAATAGTGAAGAGTAGAGACATCGCACTGGCAGCGAAGATCCACATAGTTAAAGCAATGGTATTCCCCATAGTCACCTACGGATGTGAGAGCTGGACATAGGGAGGGAAGGCGGAGCGAAGGAAGATAGATGCTTTTGAACTGTGGTGCTGGAGGAAAGTGCTGAGAGTGCCTTGGACAGCGAGAAGATCCAACCAGTCCATACTTCAGGGAATAAAGCCCGACTGCTCATTGGAGGGAAGGATATTAGAAGCAAAGATGAAGTACTTTGGCCACATTATAAGAAAGGAAAGCTTAGAGAAGACAATCATGCTGGGAAAAATGGAAGGAAAAAGGAAGAGGTGCTGACCTAGGGCAAGATGGATGAATGGGATTGACCTTGAAGGAGCTCGGGGTGGTGACGGCTGACAGGAAGCTCTGATGTGGGCTGGTCCATTAGGTCACGAAGAGTCAGAAATGACTGAACGAATGAACAACAACAACTTAGGGGACACCACATTCAAGAACCCCCAAAGACAGAAGGGGTCATTGGACAAAGAGGATTATGTTCCAAATGTGGCCTTGTCAATCTATGAATAAGAACAGGCCACAAAAATGAGGAAATGTGAAAATGCAATGCCTATTGGTTTAAAATCTCTAGTTAAAATTTTTGGTGCAACATTTGAGTAGCCATTTACTAGACTGCAATTGCCCAGCTTCAGTCCACAGCTGCTGATCTTCCATTTATCCTTTCTTCCACAGCAGCAGGCTGAAAACATCCTTAGGAACAGGATGTTTCTATTTTAAACACACACCAAAAGCATTTTGCCATGAACAGATTAAGCCATGCACACTAAATACTTAATGAGACTTGGGAAGCCTGTATTAAACTTGATCTCTCAGCACTTACGACCTCAGCAGATGGCGGTTCTTGTAGACCAATGGAAAGTTACAGAACCTCCAACACCCACTAGCACAAAAATACAGATGCTGCAATACCTTTGATAAAAATATGTTTTGTGCTTGTGAGATAAGCAGTTGAAAGAATTATATCTTGTTTACCTGATGTGTTTACTGCTTGTTTATCTTCAAGTCTTGATATAAAAACAAAATGACTACACTATTGTCCAATGTTTTCTACAAGAGGTTGTTAAAGCTATATAATCCTGATTCCTTGTATAGCCCAGAGGTATTTTAAGCTTGTGCCCAAGTATTGCAGATTACTAGTTCCCCTTAACATTAAGTCTAGTCACTCTAGGGAGTGGTGCTCATCTCCATTTCTAAGCAGAAGAGCTGGCATTGTCTGTAGATGCCTCCAAGGTCATGTGTCCAACATGACTGCATGGAGCACCATTACCTTCCCACAGAAGCAGTACCTATTGATCTACTCACATCTGCATGTTTTCAGATACCTTCAATGTCATGTGGCTGGCATGACTGCATGGAGCTCTGTTACCTTCCTGCAGAAGCCGTGCCTATTGATCTATTTATATATGCATGTTTTCGGATACCTCCAAGGTCATGTACAAACATGATTGCATGGAGCGCTGTTACCTTCCTGTCAAAGTTTTGATCAACTCACATTTGCATGTTTTCTAATTGCTAGGTTGGCAGAAGCTGGGGCTAACAGCGGGAGTGAGGCAGCAACCCCTAAAGATTTCCTAAAACAGAATGAAACCCCAAATCCAGGGACCCTACACTGTAACCTGATTTTACCTCTATGATTAGTTCCTGGTCAACTTTTCACTGAATTAGATAAAGTTGGTTATTATCAGATTAGAGAACCAAGTCCTCTGTACTTTAGACAGCATCAGTACCAATAAATAAGGAGATGGCATAGGTAAAAGGCAATAACATGCAATAAATATCCTGCCCTAGGACCTACCCAATTAAGGTTAGAAGGTTAGCTGTCATATTGGAACGCCACTTGGTGTCTTGATGTGATTACAATAGAAACTACATAGAAGTACATACAACTTAATATTTTAGAAATATGAAGAATGAATTACTTAATCTGGGACACGTCAGAACTACTGACCAGCATAAGGTCATAGGGGATAATGGAATATGGCCTAAATACACTGACTTCAGAGTTTCCAGATGATTATCAAGATGATTAAGATGTTTTTCTATGTATTAATAATTGATTAATGTCAACAAGTTATATAAGCACCGGGGAGCCCCCAGTGGCGCAGTGGGTTAAAGCACTGAGCTGCTCAGCTTGTTGATCGAAAGGTCGCAGGTTCGATTCCGGGGAGCGGCATGAGCTTCTGCTGTCAGCCCTAGCTTCTGCCAACCTAGCAGTTCGAAAACATGCAAATGTGAGTAGATCAATAGGTACCGCTCCGGCGGGAAGGTAACAGCGCTCCGTGCAGTCATGCCGGCCACATGACCTTGGAGATGTCTACGGACAACGCTGGCTCTTCGGTTTAGAAATGGAGATGAGCACCACACCCCAGAGTCAGACATGACTGGACTTAATGTCAGGGGACTACCTTTACCTTTACCTATAAATATGTGCTCTGTTCAAATCATGGTGCATGAAAACCACTTGATGCAGCTACGTGCTAAGGTTTCTCACCCTTTTCCATTGGAATAGTAAATCCGAACTCGGAACATTGCTGGAGCCTGGTGTCCTTCTTCCGCACCATTCGCGTCCTGATGGACAGGCTGCTGTTTGCTGCTACAGGAGCTCACCTTGTCCACCAACGAGGATTCGAGCCACCAACCTTTAGGTCAGCAAGTTCAGCAACTCAGCAATTTAACGTGCTGCACCACCAGGTGGCCCTGCTCCTTATGTAAACATGGCAAAATAAAGCTTGGGTTGCTGTAAGTTTTTTGGGCTGCATGGCCGTGTTCCAGAAGCATTCTTTCCTGAAGTTTTGCCTGCATCTATGGCAGGCATCCTCAGAGGTTGTGAGGTCAAACTAGGACAAGTGAGGTTTATGTATCTGTTGAATGTCCAGGGTGGGAGAAAGAAGTCTTGTCTGTTTGAGGTAAGTGTGAATGTTTCAATTGGCCACCTTGATTAGCATTTAATGGCCTAGCAGTTTTCAAGGTGTGACTTCTTACTGCCTGGGGGAATCCTTTGTTGGGAGGTGATTAGCTGGCACTGATTGATTCTTGTCTGGAATTCCCCTGCTTTTTTTAGTGTTGTTCTTCTGATTTTAGAGGGTTTTTTTAATACTGGTAGCCAGATTTTGTTCATTTTCATGGTTTCCTCCTTTCTGTTGAAATTGTCCACATGCTTGTGGATTTCAATGGCTTCTCTGCGTAGTCTGACATGGTGGTTGTTGGTGTGGTCCAGCATTTCTGTGTTCTCAAATAATATGCTGTGTCCAGGCTGGTTCATCAGATGCTCTGCTATGGCTGACTTCTCTGGTTGAAGTAGTCTGCAGTGCCTTTCATGTTCCTTGATTCGTGTTTGGGCTGCATTTGGTGGTCCCTATGTAGACTTGTCCACAGCTGCATGGTACACGGTAGACTCCTGCAGAAGCGAGAGGATCCCTCTTGTCCTTTGCTGAATGTAGCATTTGTTGGATTTTCTTGGTGGGTCTGTAGATAGTTTGTATGTTGTGTTTCCTCATCAGCTTCCCTATGCGGTCAGTGGTTCCCTTGATGTATGGCAAGAACACTTTTCCTCTGGGTGGATCTTTGTCCTGACTCTCGTGGCTTGTTCTTGGTCTTGCAGCTCTTCTGATGTCTGAGGTGGAGTATCCATTGGCCTGTAGAGCCCAGGGGGGGGGGGGAGGGGGGGGGTGTGGGGGGGGGGGGGGGGGAAGGAGCATGCATCTAACGGGCCTGGCTGCCAGCACTAAAAAAACTCAAAATTATAACAGTAAATGAAAAACAAGACTCAAACACGGAGGAACTCCAGCCAGGAAACAATCAGGAATACCTGGGCACCTCTGAACAAGGAAATTTTCCAGGCAGTAACAAGCCACACTGCCATATGATCCAGTTCAAATCTGGAGGTCTGAGGATGATTGCGATAGATGCAGGCGAAACGTCAGGAATGAATGCTTCTGGAACATGGCCATACAGCCCGAAAAACTTACAACAACCCAATGATTCCGGCCATGAAAGCCTTCCACAACAAAAAAAAAAATCAAGCTTTCCTTATTGGGGGGGGGGGGGGCTATTTCAAAGTGTGCATGAATACAGACTACTGTTCTGCACACAGCTGTCAAGAAAAAAAAGAAAGAAAAAAACTACTTTTCCCAGCAGGCTCCGGGGCAGAACGTCGCGGCGTGGCGAGCCAACCGAGGCTATATAAGGACCGCAGACGGCGCGGGTTTCAGACAGTTGAGGCGTGCGCTTCGGAGGGAGGTTTGTTGTGTGTCTTTTCTCTGTGAGGCTGCAGCTGGCATTGGCCATGAGGCCGAACGAGGTGGCGGAGGCGCGGCTGGAGGCGCTGAAGCGGGCGGCGTGCGAGAGCGTGGAGGCGTCGTCGGGGCGCCTCGCGGGGCTGAGCCGGGAGCTGTGGAGCCGGCCGGAGCTGGCCTACCAGGAGCGCCAGGCCCACGCCGCCCTGACCCGTTTCTTCGAGGACGCCGAGCCCAGCTGGGCCGTGCAGCGCAGCTACAAGCTGGAGACGGCCTTCCGGGCGGAGTGGCGCTGGGCCGGCCAAGCCGAGGAGGACGAGGAGGGGCAGGAGGAGGAGGAGGCCTCGCGCCCGGCGCCCCCAGAGCTACGGCTGGGCTTCCTGTGCGAGTACGACGCCCTCCCGGGTCTGGGCCACGCCTGCGGGCACAACCTCATCGCCGAGGTGGGCGCCGGGGCCGCCCTGGCCCTCCGCGCCGCCCTCCAGAGCCTCCCCCGGCTCGCTGGGCCCCGACTCGCCTTACCCGCCGTCCAGGTATAGCATACACATGGAAAACCTTCATTTATACCCCAATGGGAAGCCACATTCCTGTATTCTTGGATCTAGGGCAGGCATGAGCCAAGTTGGGCCCTCCAGGTGTTTTGGACTTCAACTCCCACCATTCCTGACAGCCTCAGGCCCCTTCCTTTCCCCACTCAGCCAATTAAGAATGTTAGAATGTTGAGGATGGCCAATCAGAAACCATATGCAAATTAGTAGTTTGAGATGGGCCAAGTTGGGCCCTCCAAGTGTTTTGGACTTCAACTCCCACCATTCCTGACAGCCTCAGGCCCCTTCCCCCCCCCAGCCAATTAAGAATGTTAGAATGTTGAGGCTGGCCAATCAGAAACCATATGCAAATTAGTATGTCGAGATAGGTCATGCATGGACCAAGTTGGACCCTCCAAGTGATTTGGACTTCAACTCCCACCATTCCTGACAGCCTCAGGCCCCTTCGCTTTCCCCCTCAGCCGCTTAAGCAGCTGAGGGGGGAAAGGAAAGGGCCTGAGGCTGTCAGGAATGGTGGGAGTTGAAGTCCAAAACATCTGTAGGGCCCAATTGGGGCCATGCCTGCTATAGAGAGACCCATGCACCACCGACAATTTTAATTTTCCCCAAAAGCCTATTCAAACATAAAAGTTTTCACTCCTTTTGAGTGGGGGCATCGATCCCGTAGCAATGAGTCATGACAGTGCTTTCAAACTGTTAGTTCTGCTGTATGTAGATGCACACTTGGGTTTGAATCTCTGCTCTGCCATGGAAACCTAGGTGACCTTGGGAAAGGCAGGCTCAGCAAGTCAGACTTCAACTCCCAGAAACCTCAGTAAGGATTCTGGGACTTGAAATCCCCAGCATCTGGAAGAGCCAAGTTTGGGAAACAATGGGTACAAGAAGCCCCCATCCCCCCTTCCTTTCCAATTATCTCACTGGCATAAACGAACTTTGGCCCTCCAAGTGTTTTGGACTTCCTTTCCTTGGCATTAGTTCTTTGCTCTCTAGATACAGAACGTGAAGGTGCTGGCATCGTTGCTCTGGTCTTAAAGACAGCCCCAGCCTATGCATTAGGGCTCACTTCTATCTGAAAAAGCAGTGTCCTTTGGTTTTGGAGTTGTAGTTCACCTACATCCAGAGATCACTGTGGATTCAAACAACGATGGATCTGGACCAAACTCAATATGCCCAAATGTGAACACTGGTGGAGTTTGGAGAAAATAGAATCTTGACATTTGGGAGTTGTAGTTGCTGGGATTTATAGTTCACCTACAATCACAGAGCATTCTGAACCCCATAAATGATACAATTGGGCCAAACCTCCCATACAGAACCCCCATGTGGGCCACAGCAATGCGTGGCAGGGGACGGCTGGTTTGATAATAAAAAGCATAATTATCATAACTATTATTATTTCATATATCATAGTATATATTATTTCATATTATTACTATTACTTCATATCCTTGTATCATATTACTACGTCGTTATTATGATATTTTCAAGGGCCACTTTTCAAAATAGCCAAAAGCTCTTGGAGTTTGTTGAAAAGTAACATTATTCTCTTATGGACTAGAAACTTGGGCATTCAAAAGTGATTCAAGGAAGGGTTTGCTCTTGCTAGTCTTGCAAATGCATATAAACAGGTCTAAGTGAACTTCAAAGACAAGAAGAGCTGACAAACGAGTGCGTCCCTTGTCAAATTAATGGAACGTGTCTGTAATTTGCAAGTGTTGAAAGAGTGCAGCGTTAGTAGATGAGGCAACAAAAAGTAGGGAAAGCTTGTATACATTTTCATTATAAAGAAATAGATATTTGTGGGCTGTTCTCTGCCACTACACCATTGGGGTTTTCATATCATGGCTCCCACCCTGGTGGCGCAATGGGTTAAACCATTGTGCCAGCAGGACGGAAGACCAACAGGTTGGAGGTTCAAATCCAGGGAGGGCGCGGATGAGCTCTCTCTGTGAGCTCCAGCTCCCCATGCGGTGAATGAGAGAAGCCTCCCACAAGGATGGTAAAACATCAAAACATCCAGGCATCCCCTGGGTAATGTCCTTGCAGATGGCCAATTCTCTCATACCAGAAGCAACTTGCAGTTTCTCAAGTTGCTCCTGACACAAAAAACAAACAAACAAAAACCCCAGGCACTTCATTTCTACACGTGTTTACACCATATACACGGTTCTGCATCCATGGATTCAACCAATCATGATTCACAAATATCCCTTCCCCTCCAAAAAATTCCAAAAAGCAAACCATGATTTTTCCATTGTCCCATTTTTTACTACACTGTTGTGCATAACAGGACTTTGGCATCCATGGATTTTGATATTCATGGGCTCCTGGAAGGAAACTCCAGTGGATACCACTGTAAATGCCCCTGATGGCTTGCAACCTTCTGTTTTCAGATCACGGTGCTGGGCACTCCTGCTGAAGAAGATGGAGGAGGCAAAATAGACTTAATTAAAGCTGGAGCATTTGATGGACTAGATGTGGTATTCATGGCTCATCCCTCCCAAGAAGATGCAGCATATTTGCCAGATGTAGCAGAACATGAGTGAGTACAGTGCGCTGGGAGGTGTTGTCGGCTTTTCCTTTGAAAGCCTTCTGCTTGGTTCCCCTTTGGCCATCGTGTTTTTGGAATGGTGGGCTGTCCTAAAGGGTGTTTGGAACTTCCTCCTATATTGGTGGTGTTTATGTCATACCAGCAGGCCTGTCATGCGTTTGGAAGATTTTCTACTACTGGTCAGCAGCCAGGTTATTTGAAGGGCCTCACTGAGAAGGCAGTGATGGATGTCTCTGGCCCAGCAGAATAGTGCAACTGTTGACACTGCCTCATGGCCGTTAGCACTAATTTCTAACTAGCTGTTGATGAGGGGCAGCAAAGTGTGCAAGATTTGGATTTCAAGCTGGGTACTGGGCATTGTAAAAAACGGTTCCTTATGGGAAAGGAAATTGCTCCTTCTTGGATGGCATTTTGACATTGTATTATGGGAATGTGGGGATCATTTTGAAACACAAACACTTTTTTGAAAGTTCTTGCAAAAAAAAAGTTTTGATTTGCAGGCATCCAGCAGGGCTTCAAACACATGTACATGTCCTCTGCACCTCCAAAGAATAATTTGGGCATTTTGGAACAAAACAAAGCAGCCTTGGGGACCATATTTTGTTCATCCCTTCTGTAGGATTCATTTGGCAAATAATTCCTTCAAAAACATTATCTAATTAAAAATTCCTTCTCACAACCTGGATTGTTGCCTTAAGATGATGGGAGACCAACATATCTAGAGGCTGGGAAAGGTGCCCCAAAACATTGCATCTTGCCTTGCAAACTGTTCAATTAAGTCTGATCACTGACCTGTGTGTGTCTCTTGTTTCTACTCTCACCCACATATATATTTCATTAATCCTTCAGATACCTTATTTGTTAAAAGAATAAGGTTGAAATTTAGTAATGTGCCATTTATTTATTTCAGCGGAATGTTGCTATGGCAACTTATGGCCATAAATGGCTGACTAAAAATATCAGTCAGTGAATCAGACTGGATATTTTTTAATCAGAAATGTTATGAGTGCCTTTGACTATATGCAGAACGTTTTTCTGCAGAACTAAATCAGTGCATCCTAGCTGCAATATATATTTTCTATGCAAATGCCAGCAATCTCAAAGGCAGTCTGTGGTAACTCCCAATTTAAAATGAAACAAGACCACTCTTTGGCTGTTCTGGACAAGAGTTTAGTTAGCTGTATCTTTTGCCTTGCCAGAATTCACAAAGAGTAAGTGAAAAATGGATTGAGATGAATGTGGAGAGGGTGTGTGTGGAAACATTGGAATGAGGTGATAAAGCATTTTTCTTTATTGTCGACGTGCACAGCATTGGGTGAACAATAATAAACACAGCAGAGGAATGCAAAGGAGCATTGCATTTCAGTTCTCACTTTTTCTTTCTTCATTTTCTTCATATATTTTTCTTGCTTTTTTCATTGATTCACGGCTCTTTTATTCATGATCAACAACTTGGTTTCTCTCCCTCCTTCAGAAGAAAACCAAAGAAGAGCAGGCATATTAGCCTTTGCAGCATAACAAGCATGGTCACATGATGCATTTTGTTCCGTCCCAGACCTTCTCTGAGGCCTCCTTTCTTCTGAATCTGGCAGAAGAAGAACCACCTCAGTCCTAACAAATTTTAACAATCTAAAATAATTCATTAAAGTGTATGATTAATTTTAATTGGGAAATCTGTGGAGTTGGGCCTTGTTAGGTGAAAAATTCAATGAATGTAATAAGTTAATTAGTGATTGTTTTTTCATGCTCTGGACTGGAGTGACTTTGGGGAAGAGTGAGGAAACTTTAGTTGTCTAAAGTTCCCTGAGAATCTGGGACCTAATCCACATCTTTGATTTCTTCCTGCATTGTGAGCTGCCAGAATGTTTTAATTCTACAAATATTATTTTCTTTGTTTCATCTTCAGATTTGGGTGTCCAGGCAGATGGTGTAACTGCCTGGCTTCCTCCAGGATTCTCCTATTTTTTTGTATTTATAGTAATATGTGCTTTGTAGGTGAAATAGACTTGAAATTGAGAGGAATTTTGTTAATTATTTCAGGGATCTTAACTACTTGAAATTTAGCTTTTATGATCTTTTCATTTTAATATCTTTTTATATAGGGGGCCTTCCTAACATTTAGCTTGGCTACACAAATATTCAATTCTATTTTTTTTTTAAATTTGGGCATCATTTTGTTTTCAAATTTTCATTCTCTAATGTTGAATAGCTTCATGTGATTGCCAGGTTTTATTGGCAACGTGGATACTACAACTTAACAAGTAAATCCTACCCCTTTCCAGTTTTTATTTTTCCTATCCAATTTTTTCAGTGTTACAGGTGTGAATTACTTTCTATGATATTGCATATGTAGTCGTACCCTTAATGACACCAGACTTAACATTACATACTTAGTGAGTTTTTCTTCAATCATTTAAATAGAAGTAATTAATATGCACAATCCTGAATTTGTTTCAACTGATTTCCCGTGTTTTCATTTGCTGGATGTAATATAGAATGGAAATGTGATGTGATATTATATTGCATAGTTGAGTATTAATCTTTATTTTCTTATTTGGCACTGGCAATGTCTGTATTTAGAATATCTTTCTTTAAAGAAACCTGAATTGGCATATCACAAAAATATAGGTTTGATATCCATATAAGATTGGAAATTCTTCTTCCAGTATAGTTTATCTCAAGTATTCTTTCTTGAGATTTCTGAAAGGTAGCACACTAACCTAAATACAGTAGCTCACTTGTCAATTTATTATGTAAATGGCTTTCCCCATCACAAATGACTTGAAGTAAACTGTCCAATACAGACTCCTCTTTGTTGAGTATTTTAGAAGATGGAGAATACTTCCTTATGCATTGTATCTTTGGAGAATGTATTGCATCTTAGGAGAAAGAAGTTGCTTTTTCTAGTACAAGGGATGTTAAGTCTTGAATAAGCTTTATCACGGTGACTATATTCACACTTAATGATAAGCTAGGATTATCCTGGTTATGTTGAGCGATCTGTATGCTGTATATGCATGTTGATTGCTCCCATTTCATAGGAGCAACTAAAACAAATCAGAAATTAGTAGTCTTCCATCACATCTACATTCAAGATGATGGGTTGTTTCTCTCAAACCAGAATTCATAAGCCAGCGACATATGGCTTGTAGTTCACTTGCTATTCTGATTTATTTGGGAAGAAAAGATACTATGATAAATTATCAATTTTGAATTTTTATTTGCCTGTTTGAAAAGAGGAGCAAAAGAGGCAAATCAGAGATCTTGATTTATTGTCGTGTACAAATAGGGCTGCTCCCTTCAGTGCAGTGTTGACTAAATGTTTAGACTCATTACAAAATGACTATTTTAAAATGTCTAGCTTTATGTGCTTGTTCTTTTCTTGGCTTTTGTCTGCCTGTGCTTACTAAACATATTATAGAAAAATCACATTTCAATTTACTTAGATGTGATTTGAATTCTTATCCCTTGGAGGTGGTTAGGAGCCACTGCAGGTGACGAACAAATCAGTTTTGCATTTTACTGTATTGAAATTCCCTCTTAGGAATTCAGAACTGATTACATACTTCTGAAAGATCTTTAGATGTTGCTGATCTGTTCATTGCCTTCAGACGTAGTCTGGTGAGGGATTGTGGAAATTCACATCCAGCAAGATCTGGAGGGCCACCAGTTCTCCATCCCTGATTAAAAACATGTTTGCTCTTTAGCATGAGAGTCACAATAAATGCCCACACTGTTCTCACTGTGAGGGACAGTGCAAAAAGAAATGGGAAGAGTAAGGGAAAAGAAGCATACCCATCAGATCATGCCAATACTTTCTTTCATTGGCATAACATGTTGAGTATCAAGTTGATGGCACTGTATTAGGTAGCAGTATAGAAAGCTGCAACATGAGACAAATAATATGATATAGGAAACAAGATGTTCAGTTGCATGGGGCAGAGTGGTAGTGTAGACAGTTTAGTTATATTTGTGGGGAAAAAAGATGAATACTTTGACCTTTACAAAAAGAATACCTGCCTATTCAGTTTTATAAGAACAAACATAGGAATCTTGGTGCATGTTTAAAATTTTACATATTGTATCTATTTTCAGTGCTGTTCATGCTATTGAGCTCTTTAGTCAGGTTTGGGTTGATAAGTTGCCTTTCTTGGGTGTACCTTTACAGACATCAGTGAGCACAAGTCGGGGTTATTTTGGGTCATGTTAACCATGGAAGATACTGTTACACAGCTTATCCATGTTGTGGCAGCAGTTTTCTGCGAAGGTGCACTTGATTCCTTCATAAATTTTCCTTTGCTACAGCTTGTTTTCACAAAACACTCTTGAAATCTGTCTTTATAATTGCTGGATTTGTTTGCTGTGGACATTTTTCTTATAATTTTCATTATGCATTGCATTACACATCCTAATTTCTCAAGTGTATCAGCACATTTGCTGCATGTTTAATGCATGTTGTGCTGTGATACCTAAACTGGTATGTGGTTAGAAAAGAACTATGACATCATTCAACATTATATGTGCCTCTAGTTTTAGTTCATGCTTTGAAAACTGCTGCATACCAAATGCACTGTATGATTTTGTTTGACTTCTAGGACAGCTTTTAAAATCCAGATCAATTTTTGAAAATGTCAGCTTTCATTTTTGATCCCTAATTTTTATGGCTTTGATGAATGTAGGCTCTTAAAAACGCAAAACTCCAAAGTACAGTAGCATGAAAACAAAGTTTTCATAAGCCTACTTTAAGCTGGCTTGCATAACAGTGACACTGTTCTTAATTTGGACTACCAGTATCAGTGTATGAATTTGTTCACCAGCAAGAACATGTCATAAAGATGTTCTCGCTGGTGAACAAATTGCTATACATGAAATCTGAATGCTGTTGTTTCTAAAATATCTGAAAGCTATGATTATTAGTAATCATTTTATTGCTGCATTTTAAAAAATTGTGTCAAATTCAAGTTTTTACACTGTTACTCACAAGTTTCCACACTGTTACTCACTCACCTTTTGTTATATGCAAAGACAAAAGCATAAATGCTGTTAGCAGCAAATCTAGCAGTAGGTGAATCATAATTCAAGATCTTTAATGTGTGGAAATATTTTAAAAAATATAAAAAGCTCAATAGGGATTCAGGCTCACAGTTCCTTATAAAATCCAGACTTCCATTGGGTGCTGCACATTCGCGTCTTAGGTATAATTCTATTTAATGTTAAGCATAGTGTCTAGATCTAGGGAAGTCACGCTACCCCTCTATTCTGCTTTGGCTAGACCACACCTGCAATATTGTGTCCAATTCTGGGCACCACAATTGAAGAGAGATGTTGACAAGCTGTGTCCAGAGGAGGGCGACTAGAATGATCAAGGGTCTGGAGAACAAGCCCTATGAGGAGCGGCTTAAGGAGCTGGGCATGTTTAGCCTGAAGAAGAGAAGGCTGAGAAGAGATGATAGCCATGTATAAATATGTGAGAGGAAGTCACAGGGAGGAGGGAGCAAGCTTGTTTTCTGCTTCCCTGGAGACTAGGATGCGGAACAATGGCTTCAAACTACAAGAGAGGAGATTCCATCCGAACATGAGGGAGAACTTCCTGACTGTGAGAGCTGTTCAGCAATGGAACTCTCTGCCCCAGAGTGTGGTGGAGGCTTCTTCTTTGGAAGCTTTTAAACAGAGGCTGGATGGACATCTGTCAGGGGTGATTTGAATGCAATATTCCTGCTTCTTGGCAGGGGGTTGGACTGGATGGCCCATGAGGTCTCTTCCAGCTCTTTGATTCTATGATTCTGTGATTCTATTAAATGAAACCCAGACTGTTTAAGTAACCACAATTCAAGTTTCCCAAGGTCAGAAAAATGCTGTACGATATAGGTGTTAAATATGTAAGAACGGAATAGTTACAGTTCATTAAAACGGCTTCTTATGATTATTTTGACAATATTGTAAGAACAAATATGAGGATACTTAAAATATTTTAATCCTAGATGATTTGGGGAGGGGGGGGGGTCAGAATACTAAAATTGTATCTCAGCATTGTATAAGTTGAACACTGTTCAACTCTTGAATTACATTCATTTTTACATTTGATTGTCACTTAATTTTTTGTTTATATTTTAAATATACCATCAGTTGAAAAAACTGCAAGTTTTAGAAATACCAAGGATGCGGAAATGCTATCTGTATCATGCAGTTCAGTGTCAGAGCTGGCAGTTTTGATATGCTAACATTTCAGAAATTGCGAGATCTTTGCATTGTAAAAGGTAGAAAGTATTATCAGCCGTATATCCAAAAAAAGTTCCTCCCATTTTTGTTGTTATTGATTCTGCCTAAGTGTCTCTTCATGCATAGAGGATCTGTCGATAAAAGTTTTCTCTCTTCTTCAGTTGAGACCCCAGTCTTCATATCTACAGATTCCTTTTCTCGGTGTGTATGTGTGTGTTTGCTATCTTTAAATGGGTCTTCTGTATATATGTTCACAGTGCTAGTTATGATGGATGGAAGATAATGAAATCAATATAAGGACTTACCAAACAACTTCACTTTTACTGCAGTTTTACGTGGTCTGGTGTACCCTTTTCAAAAAAATAAATGTTTTGTTAGTTTATTTACTACATAGTACCTAATAGAGAAATCAAACATTTTAACATACTAATATTCTTTTGTTTCCACAGGGCTTCACTTTTTTTCTTGTTCATATATTCCCCGGTCCACTGATTTGCATACTGGAAGTCTTACTTCAATTACCATCCAGTCTCAAAAACACAAAAATCTGTTTTCTTAATCTGTTATTTTCAGTAATGTACATTTATAGGAGCTTGCAGTAATAGACTGGTATGAACACTTATCCCGTTAAAATTAAGTTCACTGAATGAATCCAAAGGGGTATTTGTTACTTCACAAAAGTGTTTAAAAACAAGTGATGGCTTTTATTTCCTAGTGTGACTGTGAAATACTATGGAAAAGCTTCTCATGCTGCTGCTTACCCTTGGGAAGGAGTAAATGCATTAGATGCTGCTGTTCTTGCATACAACAATCTGTCAGTTTTAAGACAGCAAATGAAACCAACATGGAGAGTTCATGGTGAGATCTTCATTCAATCTTATGTCCAGCAAGTAATACTTCAGCACTGTATAAGGAAATATATTGTATCTGGCATGTGAATGATCCAAATGCAAGGAACTGTACTTATTTTTCTTACAAATTTGCAGTTTTTTCCTCAACTAGAAAGTATCTAAGAGCAACACAATATTAGGAATACAGTGGTTCACTTATTGCACTGCATGGTTCGCTTAATAGACCTAAATGTCCCAAACTTAAGTTGTTGAGTGTTCATACAAATAGCAGCTGGTGCTAGTGCAGCAAATGCTTACATTTGTGTATGTGTGATAATAGTGAAATGCCACACATCTCTATCATACAGGTGTGAAAATGGACCTGCCCCCTCTACGTTTTCAGTCCCTTGACTGTACTAAGCCTTAGTGATATGGGCATAACTATAGGAGGATCTCTGGTTTTTCAAACATCACCATTTTGAAAACCTGTAGATTCATCAATCTAGTCTCAGCAGGTGAACTCCACTGAATAATTATTTTAAAATGTAATTTTCAGCTGCATGGTAAACTAACTTCATTGCAGCGCAATTAGAGTGCATTCATTTTTCTGTATTTTTATTTTAAGAGTGTTATGCATGATGGGAAATCCTATAGTTGGAATGCTCCAAAGTTTCATTTCTCCTGGTCTTAGAATACTGTTTTAGGGACCCACTCTAAACCAGTTATTTTCAACAACAACAAAACTTTATTTGTATCTCGCCACCATCTCCCCGAAGGGACTCGGCAGCTCACAGAAAGCACTCAATAGTGCAACAAAATACAAATACAACAAAATACAGAAAAGTAAAATTAATAACAATTAAAATTGACCCAATTTTACTTAAACAGCAATAAAACAATAATTTAAAAGATATTATAAAACCCAGCAAGCTACAAAAATAGTGGCTGTGTACAAGAACACACCTGGATGAAAGCTGCACTATATCAGAAAATAGGAAATGGTATGCTGGTGTCCTTTAATTATAAAATAAAAGAGCACTGTGAACATGCTTCTCCAATAGCTATCAGTTCACTTGAAAAGAATCACATGGTTGTCCTCACACACTGCAGGCTTTTGAGCTTTATGCTATAGCAGCTGCTGAATAAATCCGTGGAAAATCACCTTCCATGCAGCTGCTACTGCAGCAGTGTTTATTGGTTACCATTCTTTTTGTAATCCATATAAACTCAGTATTATTAACCACTTAGAAATATTTATATTCATATTATTTCAAATATATTTTAAATGGGGATAGTCCAACACATGTTATTCAACATGCAATATTCAAGCCTTTCTGATCAGTGGCCATCATGACATTTTCATTCTCTTATTAATGGAACAGTTTGAAGTTTTTGATTTTCTATTGAAAATACTTGTGTCCACCCCCCCCCCGAAGATTTTGTAGCTTACACAGTGATTTAAAAGTGTTTGATTTCTATACAATATTGTAAATACATTTTATAGGTAGTCATCTGAATTATGAGTCAGAATATTCTATTTTTGGACACTGAATAAATGTATCTGGATAAGGAAGCTTTCCTTAACAACTAAAGGAAAATTTAAAAATGGTTAATGATTTATCCTTTAGTAATTATTTTCAATTTAAATGCACACTTCAGAGTCCATTTTGTCTTCTGGATTTCTTTCCATTTGATTATGTCCTGTGAGGATTTTGCAAATGGATGGTCTTATAAGTCTGTTGCTGGAACATTAAAGATTGGCAATGCAGACAAAATAGACCCCCAATTCCAAGGGTTAGGGTTAAGCACAAGACTCTGATTTATCTATTTCTTCTCCGCTTTTATCCCATATGGGACCTAATGTGGCTTATGCCATGGTTTAGAAGGGTAGTTATCAACCTGTGGGTCCCCAGATGTTTTGATCATCATCATCATCTTTAATTACTTATTAATCGCCCTCCATCCGAGATGCTCCAGGCAATTTACATAGCAGAAATTACATAGCAGATTTACATAGCAGAAATTAATGTTTTGGCCTTCAACTCCCAGAAATCCGAACAGCTGGCAAACAGGCTGGGATTGCTGGGAGTTGTAGGCCAAAGCACCTGGGGACCCACAGGTTGAGAACCACTGATTTAGAACAACACAGCTAAAAACAATTTAAATTCAAAACTTTTAAAAGTGCTAAATACAGTCTTCCTAAATAAAATGAATTTAAAAACAATTAAAAGCACGTTAGTTACCCTATCCCAACCAGATTAAAAACTGAAAGCTTGTTTAAATGGTAGTGTCTAGACTTGCCAGTAGAAGGAGAGCAGAAAGGGAGCTGACCAAGAGAATTGCATAGCCAGAGAGCTATGGTCTCTCCTATGTCCTGCTCATTGGCCGTACCTGTGACAGTGGCGGGACCATGAGAAAGATTTCCCCTCAAGATCCTAAAACTCAGGAGGGCTCAAGTAGGGAGCTGGATCTTTCAGTTAGTCTGGAACAAAGCCACATGGGTCATAACCAGCACCTCAAGTTTCTCAAGTCACTCCTGACACGACAATAATAATAACAATAATAATAATAATAATAACCACCAACACCTTGAATTTGCCCAGAAATGAACCAGTATGAAATGAAGCTGTTTCAATGCCCTTGCAAAAGCAACTTGCAGTTTCTCAAGTCACTTCTGGCGCGCACACACACACACACACACACACACACACAAAACCCCAAGGGAATTTTCTGTTATCATGAGCAAATTTCACTTCCTAGAGAATGGGAGTAGCTGGTGGACTTCCAAGCTCAGATTTGAGTCCAGGAGCACACCCAAACTGCAAACCTGAGATTTCAGGGGTAGTCCCTATTTCCTGATCTGCCTTCCAACTGATAAAAAGAAGGACCTGTGTTTTGTCTGGACTAAATTTTAATTTGTTTGAATTTGGCCAGTGAACTACTGACAACAGACTGGTTTAGTACCAAGATAGCTTCCTTGGAGTCCAATGGAAAAGAATATAAATTCCCTTCCGCAAGCAGAATCGGAAACCTACCAACAAAGCTATTTGCAAGACTGCTTTGCTAGCTAACGTGCCAGTCCAGTGCTACAGAGGAGCAGGGCAAGATAGGAACTGTGAGTGATGTCAGACTGTATCCTCCAGTACAGAAATATGGGTGGAATGCTGGCATAACATTAGGCCAGAGTAATCGGTGCAATATCCTACATGCCTGTGCCGAATCCAGTACACATGTTTTCCAGTTACATCGGTTTTGTGGAGTATAGCTAATTTCATATGATTCACAACCTAGCCTTCAGAATATAACATATATAAAGGTATATATACCAGGATAGACAGTGAAATTGGAGAGCCGTGTGTTACCTACTCTGACTATGTTGTTATAAAATACTGAAAGTGGAATGGATTTTGTTCCTAAAGAGCTAATAAAATGAATTAATATGCAGTCAAGTTAGTTGAACATTTATGGTAATTATCAAATAGCTATTGTGCCCAATACATTACAAACATCACCTTTTGTCTTAGCAAGTGAGCATGAGGTCAAAGCTAAGAACTCAGCAGCTTTAAAATTAACACACTTTGTTAAAACCACTTAATAAAAAGCATAGCTTTTTCAAAGGCAATCACCCTATTACTCTCATTCCCTCATTTCAGAAAATGTTTTACATTCTAAAAGTGGGTAATATCGTCTATAATTAAGGAGTTATTCTAGTTTCCTTGGAGTTTCCTTGGATACATCTTGTCAAGTCTACCATGGGAAAGATATTTAGCGTTGCATGGTTACCACACAAAAATTGCTGGTTAGACTGAGTTATCAGCTTCATTTTTAAACTTTTTATTTTGCACAAGGAACATAGCTATCCATAGTATAAATCTTCTGGTGAGCATCTAGCTTTTATATAGGTATGAAAAGTAGGAAAGCACAGCATATAACCTTACAGTTCTGTGCCAAGCAGTAATGTAAATAATTTTCTGCTTTCTAAATAACTAAAAAGATTTTATGTGTTGGGTAATTTAAATTACAGTGTGATTAGATTTTTAAACAGTTTCTCTTGTGGGCAGCAAAACTCCTTTGAAAGGAAGCTTATGTTGTATAAAGCAGCCAATACCAGAAAACAGAAGAGCGTGGTTATTTTAGTGATCTAAAGCAGCTAAAGAACTGTTAGACAGAGCATTGATTCTAGATAAGAACAATTTCTAGTGTATCAAAGAAACCTGAAAATAATATACTACCTAATTTATTAGCATAAGTTTTAATATCTGGAAACCGTAATTGAAGTATAACAACACTATATCCCATATTAGAACGAACAAGCTGTTATTTAAATAACTTTTCTGTAAAGGACTTACTAGTTCAGATTCTTACATGGTTATCCCGATGTACTGCTGACATTGGTTTCAAGAATATCAGCACTTCAGTTTTGTTTGCTCCAAAGTGTAATAATTAAAAAAACGTTTGTTTCCTAAGGGTTCTTAATTTGCAAAACAAAGCTAAAGAAGGGTAAAGTGTTCTCTGCTTTTAACTGAAGCTCTTGCAGCAGCTACCATGTTGCATGAGCTATTAGAAGTGAAACAACAGGAATGCAAAGAAATGTACTTGCTTTCCCTTCCTTGATAGAAAACATTTGTGCCACATAATTTGGGCATTGCACATTGAGACAACCGTTGGCCTTACTTGGCTCAGTTTCTCACACAGTTTTCATAACAAAACACTTCTCAAAATTTGAATAAGAATGATGGATTTGTATCAAATTGGTGGCAATCAGTACTTGGCACTAAAAAAATCTGAGATTTTGAAACATTTTCTTAAATTTAGTTATATTGTTACAGTACATAAATAACAAGATAACGGATAATGGCTGTTTAAACATTGTCCCATTATGTAGTTAAGAAAGGAAAGGGGAGAGGAAAAGTGGATGTAACAGTACCTGTAAGGTTTTTTTTTAATTTGCATGGGTTTTTGTGGACACAAACCCACTTCTTCAAATACAGTTTAGAGTGATAATAAATTAGTACTAGCCGACTACAATAAAGATCTCAAAGACCTATATTACACAGCCTTTTGGAAAATCTATAGAAAAAGTCATGATTTGCATCCTTCTGGATCCTATTACAGGTTGATTATTCTTTACCCGAACAACTTGGGGCAAGATATTTTAGGGGTTTTTTTAGGAATACTTGTGTTTGCATATATGTACAAAATGGGCCCCCTGGTGGTGCAGTGGGTTAGACCGCTGAGCTGCTGAACTTGCTGACCGAAAGGTTGGCGGTTTGAATCTGGGGAATAGAGTGAGTTCCCACTGTTAGCCCCAGCTTCTGCCAACCTAGCAGTTCAAAAACATGCCAATGTGAGTAGATCAATACGTACTGCTTAGGTGCTCCATGCAGTCATACCGGCCACATGACCTTGGAGATGTCTACGGACAGTGCTGGCTCTTCAGCTTAGAAATGGAGATGAGTACTACCTCCTAGTCGGGCACGCCTAGATTTAATATCAGGGGACACCTTTACCTTTTACCTTTCCTGGAAAGGGTGTCCAAATCTAAATGTTCATTTATGTTTCTAATATATATTATACACATAAACCAAAATGAATTTCAAACATTTTTAAAAATATTGTGCATAAAACAAATTTTATGCACATTGAACCATCAGAAAACAGAGGTATCACAATCTCATTTCTGAATTTGGAATATTCTGTATTTCTAGATAAGGGATAATCAACCTGTATCCCACTTCCACACCTCTGTAAACCAGTTTCATACCTAACCATTTATTATCTCTCTGTCCTTCATCAGGAGAACTGGGTTTACATCCACAAAAGCTCATGTAAAAATAGAAAAAGATGTTGCAACATTTATTTTTATTCCCACTGCTTCCCTCCCTTCTTTTTATGTTGCAAGAGACTAACACAGCTAATTTTCTTTGAAAATTAGGAACTGTAGTGTTAGAAACAAATATGTAACTCAATGAAGTCTGATGTAAATATATTTTAAATTAATGTTAACCCTAACATGAATCTTCTTCCACAAGTTAGAATGTAAAGCGGATGGATTTATATTTTGGTTTCTGCTCCAGTAAACCATATTTCACTTCTGTGTTATTGTTTACGGTTTAGTTAATCCTCCTTCTTCTGGTGCCAGCTAAATCTTCTCAGTTCTAAGAACAGCAAATGACTAACAAAGAATGTGAACACAATCTAACTCTACATCTTTTTGGTTTGAGATAAAATACATTTTCCAGTTCTAAAGTTCTTTTTTCTTTAAAGAAAACAAGAAAATCTTCAGACTTTGTGTCCGTTGATCGGCTGGAGATTAGAAGAGTTGGATCAAATGCATACATTATTGTAACTTCTCTGTTTAGCTGATTTGCCAGAAACCTCTGAAATTCCAGTGTTTCGGAGTAATGTCATTAACATGTATTTTCTTTCTTCTAGGTGTAATAAAGAATGGAGGTGTGAAACCTAATATCATCCCTTCATATGCTGAATTAGAATTTTATTTGCGTGCTCCTTCATTGAGGGAGCTCTCTCTCCTGACAGAAAAAGCAGAGAACTGTTTTAGAGCTGCCGCTCTGGCCACAGGGTGTGAAGTAAGGTTCTTAAAGGCTAATCACAATTCTGCTTAAGTTATAATGTCAGCTTTCTCAAGTAAATTTAAAATGTGGATTATATCTTGATCAGTCTACTAAAAATTGAGAGAATAATAGCATTTTTTTCTTTGTCTCCGTTTCACACTTGTTCCTCCACATTTGTAGTTTTGACTTTTGCGGATATGATTGTTGATGAATTTGTTAAAAAAAATCTTTTTGGGAATTTCCTGGTCCTCTAGTGTGATGCTACGGTTTGCTTTCAGCAGAATTAAAATATGGTCAACCAGGGAGACCTAGAAATTCCTAGAGAAGTGTTATCTCAAGTTAAAAAAATAGCACTTCCTTTATTTGCAGTTTTTCACCTTCACAGAAGTCCTGTGCTCCTAACCCCAGTAAATGCGGAGGGCTGACTCTAGTCACTTCACCAAATTCTTGTCCTACCTGCATAACTGATACTTTGCTCATACCATATACATTCATGGATAAGTTGACCTTGTGTAGGTTTTGGGGCCAAAATTATGGATTTTGATATGACCCATGGATAAGTTTGGAGTTGTTCTGTGAAGAGGGGAAAGCCAGTTGTGTCTCATTTTTTATGCCATTGGGCAAACTAATACCTGCAGAAAAATTGCATAGAATTAACTGTAAATTCTTTGTTTCAAACTTGATTGTATACTTTAATTGAAAAAATGTATATTTTACTTTTTTAGGTGGAATTAAAAGATGGTGCAAATGATTACTACAATGTGCTACCTAACAAAAGCCTGGAGAAGGCTTACAAAGAGAATGGCAAGAAGCTTGGCATGGATTTCATTCCAGATGATAATGTTAATGGACTGTCAGGTAGTAACAGAATGCCTTCCTGTTCAGTTTTCAGACTGGTTTTTCCTCTAATAATGTTTTACTGGCCTCAGATCAATGTAGATTTAAAATCTATTCATTTCTACTTGGTTTTTGTCTTGTTTACAGAAAAAGACAATTTTAATTCTAATTATTTCCCCTTCTTTCATGAAAATATATAAGTTGTTATATTTTAGAAGATTCACATTGCTATGTGATTATAAAAAACAATGTTTTAAGGTTTTTGAAGGGAAAATGAAATTTTATTGGATTATAAATGTTATTTTCATTAAAATACAATACATTAAAGTACCATCAGAGATCCAGTAACACATGTTTAACATTCTTTAATCGTACCTTCGTAATGAATTCCCAGTTGGACTACTGTCATGCACTCTACGTGGGACTGCTTTTGAAAAATGCTTAGAAACTTCAGTTGATTCAAGAAGCATCAGCCAGACTGCTAACTGGGGCTGGCAGAAGGGAGCTCACAAGGGCAGTAGGAAATAGAACCATTCATGCTACTGTGTTTTATTCTGGTCTTGATACTGCAGGAGCAAAAAAGATTAATTTCAGTGCATACTACTCCTAGTATAATGTTTCAACTATGCCTTTTTGTTGCTTTCAGAGTGAATTTAGGAATATGGGGAACTGTCAAATAGGACTAAATTACCTGAAGTTAAAAATTATTGGGAATTGGAAGTAATTTTGCTCATTGTTTTAATTCACTTGGCAAAATGTAGCCTTCAAAATGGGAATTATTGTTGCAAAATGGGAAGATCTGGGATATTGTAGTGTTTTGAGTGTTGAACTATAACTTTCAGCCATGGGTGACCTTAGGCAAATCACACTCTCACAGCATCAGAGGAAGGCAAAGACTGAACAAGGTTTCTGAACAAGTTTTCCCAAGAAGATTGTGACTAGTCACCATGAGTCAGAAAAGCCTTTGAGGCACACAACAACCAGTTGGAAATCAATCTAATGTATAAGATCTGTAATGCACATTATAACATTATTATTGCATTACATTACATTGTAGCTTAGATCTTTATAATCTGTGCCTCCTAGTCTTTGCTTGTGTGCTTTTTATTTTTTATCATACCTTCCAATGTAGTTTGGGCTATACTTTGACTTTCCTTTTCCTTTTTCCTTCATTCCCCATATTCTTACAGGGAGTGGAAAAGTAAATGTTAGAAATAATGACATTTGGATCAGAATAAAATTCAAAAAATACATGAAATTCTGCATGTCTTGCTATATGACCTAGATTTTTTTTACATTGTTCTATTCTCATAACATACTTTGGGACAAAATACTAAGGTATGCATCTCCCTAGGTTCTACTGACTTTGGAAATGTCTCATTTGAGGTTCCTGGGATTCATCCTTATTTTTACATTGGCTCTGATGCTCTGAACCATACTGAGCAGTATACAGCAGCTGCAGGTTAGTGTATTTTAAGTGTACATGAAACTGGGGATACCTTACAATAAAAATGACATGAAGCAAATCTTGGAAGGTTAGGGATGAAAATTAATTTGTTATTAATTGTCCACTAGCATTGATACTTGAGAACGTTAAATTTAGTTAATGCCAGGCAGTCTGTTATTTTAGATCAGGCATGAGCAAACTTCGCCCTTCCCAGTGTTTTGGGCTTCAACTCCCACAATTCCTAACAGCCTACTGGCTATTAGGAATTGTGGGATTTAAGTTCAAAACACATGGAGGCCCTACGTTTGCCCATGACTGTTTTTGATGGTAGTTCTCAGGACCAGAGAATCACATTATTTTAGAAAGGCAAGGAGGTTGTCATTTTAAATCCCTGCTTCACATTTGGTTATTCTTCTTTCACAGTTCGCTTTTTTGTTGTTTAAAGTTTCCTTCTCCCAACCTGGTACATTTTTTCCAACTGAACTAGAACAGCTTAAATACAATTGTTTTGAGATAATGCTAGGCCAACATTTCAAAACTATCAATTTGGAAAACAACAGTCCTTATTACTTTTTGTCCCTGCTCTATATCACTTGACTCTTTTTTTCTGTCTTCACCTGTCACTACCTACATGTGATCTTCACTCGCCCTTCAAACATTTTGTTTATTAAAGTTTAACAAGAAGTTATGTTAAAGGTTATTAGGGGGTGATAGATGTACTTCAGCTACAGAATACCATTTTCAAGTTCAACCTGTGGGCATATCCACTTGGAAGATCAGTTCTTTAACAAATCGTCTCTTCTGTTTTGTTAGCTGTGGGAGGGCATGGGATTTAGCTAGCAGGACATTTGGGCTCCAGACTCCTTTATCTTGCTAAACTTTCATTTGCTCTGAAGAAGGTCGTGCAAAACAAAACTAGCATTGATAAGAGAGGGAGGAACCAAAAGAGGAGAAAATGGTGAAAGCTTTTCAGTAAATTATTCAGGTACACCCAGTATTGGTAAACAAAAAAAAAAAAATCACACTGAAGGGAATTGCAAAAGACCTTGGATGCTGTCCTTGCACCAGGGGGAAAAGCTGGAGACAGCTGTGATCATGTTTTCACAATTTGAAAGGGTTAGTAGTCCTTTCAAGATGACAATCCAAATACCTGTTCTTTGAAATTAAGCAGGACCTGCCCTGGTTAGTACTTGGTTAGGGGACTGCCAATGAATACCAGGTTGGCAAGGAATAGACAAAATCATCTTTGAATATTCCTAGCCTAATAAAACCCTATGAAATGCACATACTTAAAGGTATATACACAGTCCTTTCAAGAAGTAGGAAGAAACAATAGTGAGAAAAGAAAGAATGCATTTGCTGCTTAGTAATTACCAGTAGCAAATTGCACCTCCTGTTGTATTTTTATGTATTATCTGAAATAGAGCCTCAAGGGATACTATTTCATTCAGGAACTGAATACAGTTCCAGGGCCGTCCAAATGTTCTTTCAATTCTAGATACAGAAACATGTTGTTACTATAACATAAGCTTATTGGTGGTTAGTGATGCAGTAGATGGTACATACAGAGGCATTCCAGCACCTTTGCTGATAGGGTCAGTGATAGAATTTGACCCCAAAGTCTACTCAAGATTGTCCCACAAATTTCTCATTTCTGGAATGAATGGGAAGCTCTTGGCTGGAATGCGCGCGCACACACACCTCAGGGTAGGAAAAATTGTCTCCCAAGAGTTTTATAGTGCATAAGCTAATAGAAAATCAATATATGGCAGCGTGACCCTCCCTTTCCCCTCAGATTTTTGAGAACTACAAGCAGGTTTGCAACAGAAAAAATCTTTCCCAGCCTCAAAACTGCAAAACCAATGCAAAAAGTGTCCAACAATATCAATAATACAAATGAATCCTTTCATCCCACTGGACAGCTGTTGATATTTGGCCTCAATCTAATAAGGACTCTACCAGGTGGCAGAGACCTGGCTTGGTAAAGACATGTACAAATTATTTTACTGAGACTATGGATGTACCAAGTTGTAGTCCATAATGATAATGATGATGATAAATCTTTATACTCGCTTTTCTCCCTCATGGGACCCAAAGCGGTTTACAACATCTTAAAATAAACAACAGACCAAATACCTCAATAATAAATATGAATATCATAAAATAAGCACGGCATAAACAGTTTCCTCAGATTCTCCATACTGTAATGATACACTTATTCAATGGGCTCTCAGGGTCCACGGGCTCAGGATTTACTGAGTCAACTAACTGCAGATCAAAAAACATTTTAATTTTTTTTTAAAAAAAATCAAACAGTAATAATCAGAGGAGTACAGGACATCTCCTCTCTCCCCCATCTTGCCGATTCATTAGAGGACCATGGCAGAAGTTATTCTGTGGCACTCCTCTGCTGAGACTGAGGAAGTCACTGAATATCACATTTTTATATATCAACGGAATGAGGGCTTGGTTGAATCAATCCTCTGCTGATACAGAGAGCTCACTGTTTCATGTCTCTTGCAACACCTTTAATCTGATTTGTCCTTGTGTGGCTTTGCTTCACTTTAGGATCAGAAGAAGCTCAATTCTATACTTTGCGGACAGCAAAAACACTAGCTATGACTGCGTTAGATGTTATTTTCAAGCCAGATCTGTTGGAAAAAATCAGAGAAGATTTCAGAATGGAGAAACTGAAAGAGGAAGCCCTTCTACATATCCCTGAACATGGCAAAGGACCTGTCCTTGGCATTGGAGCAGCATGTGCATCATGTTGAAATAGTGCCACGAGTTACAAATTTAAAATCACAACAAGCTCTACAATCGATCTGTGTGAATTGAATGTTTAATAGCTGTAGAGATGCTGACATTTTGAATGGCGCAACTGAAAACCTCAATGCACTTTTGCAAAATTTTCTTGGTCTGAAATCATCTAGCTATCTTAATTTGGCAGACAAAATTACATGATTATCTAATGATTGAAAATGTGCTCAATGTCTTAGCTTTGCAGACTTTTTTGAGGTGAATTTTATATTGCTGGTGTGATAGTTTGAGAGGAATCAAACTATCTTCATAGTAATTGTGCTCTTGCCAAGAAATAGTGAGAAGTGTTGCATATTTTATTTAGGATTTGCAAAACCAAATGCAATCAATCAGGAAAATGTAATTCTACTTGCTAAATCTGTATGCATTTGAAATGCTTTGCAAAGAGGGATACCAAAGGTTCAGAGGTGTTTGCAAAATGTACCCAGATCTTCTTTATACTGATGGCTTGCACTTTGTCCTCACATTCTTGCCAGTGTTTCTTGTTCTTACATTCATTTTCAAGCATACTTTGGATCAATCAAACATTGCTGGAAGACTATCCTTGTAACCATTTGATTTTGCACATATTAATAAGCTCCTGAGTCCTTGTTCTACACAATTTTAAGCATATTTATGGCTTAGTAGTTTTGCATTTACATATAATCCAGAGGAAATCAACATACATATAAGGGAATAAGCATGCATAGCTCTTAAACTGAGAAAAAATATTTTGTGGAAAGAAGAGAAAAGTAGTTGATCATCTCTGAGAGAAACTGAAGGAATAGGTGCAAATCACTTTTTACTGTGTGTTGTAAGGAAAAATATTTACAGAGCAGTTGGCATTCTAGACGTTACTTTACTACATTATTGCCTAGACAGATTTCTTTGAGAAAATCAGATTCTTACCTGCACATCCCAGCAAATAGGTATCTGAATCCACATTCCATTCAAGTCAATAGCAAAACTGGATTTAAATGGATATATTATACACTATTTATGTAAATAAAGCATTGTAGCAAGTTTAACAGGGCTTAGTGTATTTGCATTTCTGACGGAAGCACCTGTGTTCACTTACACTAATATATATTGACAGAGCAACATTTCTGTATATCATCTCTAGTAATTGTCCTGGAAACTTTGTGTTGGACTATTTTATAGCACTTTCACGCCATTCAGCAAATACTGAAAGTCAAGGAAGCTTTTTTAAGTGTTGAATTTTTCTAATTCTGATCCAAGAAGAAAAACTATTTTCTTTTCTTTTTTACTCTCCCACTGTTATTTTTTCTAAACGCCGTGCTGTCTTGATTTGTGCGAAAGCAGAAATCACGCACACGTAAATGGTATCGGACCAAATAGCAGTGAGAGTTTAATGTATATAACTGAAAGGAAATTGTAATGAGTATTTTGCTCTTTTGCCTTCATCCATTTGCATTTATCTTACCAGCAAATGAAGGGGGACTTCAAAAGGTTGCTTGTCTTTTTTGATAGAAGTGTGAGCAGGAATAGGAACTCATCCAGTATCAATATTGGCAAAACCAGAGCCACATAAGATTCTAGTTAAGGTTCCTGATTAATTGCATTAATGCTAATTATTAATTATGATGATAGCATTCATAGCAAAGGGGAATTAAGAATGAAATCCAGTGTTTTTCTCACCTCAAGTAGTAGGCCCATTGAACTCAATTGATGCTGTTGACTATGATTAACTTGAGTTCCACTGGTTTTATTGAATCAGTTCTGGACCAAGATTTCCTCCCAAATACTTTGTTGATTGTGAGTAGAGGAATTCTGCTTAGATGATCAAAGTATACAGTCTGGAACATAAGTAAGGTATGAGGAAGCGAGTAAAATGTTCTTTCTTGACTTCCTGTGTAGTGCTATCTCAGCCAGGGTTCTTTTTCCAGCTTTGCAAAGTTTTAGAATTGCCAACTAACACTTCAAAAATTGCCCTCTTGAATCTACATTGTATTAAAAACAGTAATTTAAGAGAAGAAAGCCCCTTAGACTACTGCTGTTGATGTGCTTTCCATTGCACCAGAGAACGGTACCATATTTGTGCCCATTCACTACAACTGTTGCTTTTTTGGAAGGTTGCCACAGCCTGCCAACTCTTTGAGTAGCACCGCCTTTGCCGAAAATTTCTGAATCATGTTATCACCCTTCTTTTGTTTCTTTTATTCTTTAACAGTTAACCTAGTTTGGAAGATGATTTGGCAGATTCTTGAGTAACATCTCGCCCCTCTCTTACGTGAACTGGAAAGTAAAACAATTTAGTGTGAATTTCTGTAATTGGATTTGGACAGACTTATCTCTTAGTAGAACAATCTGTCTAATGGGGTTTCCTAATCCAGTTTTAAATAACATTTATTTTTGTTTGGTGGTTGAGTATATTTGGAAATAATTGATTATTATTTGACTAATCAAAAGTCTCGGATCTTGCAGTTGTTGTGAGAGAGTACAAAAAATACCTCTTTTTTTTCTTTGCACAGCACATTTGAAACAGTCATGCTGGAAGGGAGATTTCCCTGTTAAACATGGTAGTGGGATGGAGAGTTTACATGGATAAGAATTTCCAACACATGTTTCTGGTATGAGAGTCCGAGATAATTGTCAAGGTCGTTCAGCCTTGGAGATACCCCTTATTTGTAGAAGAACAGATAATATTTGATAGCTTTTGTTGGCTCAGGGTATGAGTTTTCTGCTGAGGCAAAAGACAACACATTCTGAAATGACAAAGTTTTCTGATAATTTTTCAGAATACCATCAACACAATATTATTTTTAATCACACTGAGTCTTCACAGCTTTCTGTCCTCAGCCTTTCCATCCTTTTATTCATTCAATGTTGTTATTATTGCAGTATTGATATTTTTGCAAAGGAAGCCATAGAGTATATCAGATCCTCTATATTAAATAGAAGCTGGAGGGTGCTACTTTAGGCCACTTCACTTTCGTTCACAGTGCCTCTTTATTGCATTTATACAACCCCAACCTCCGCCATACCATAAGGATGGTTTTTGCTTCAACTGAGCCACATATTAGACAGGAGCGCTCTTGTGCCATTTGTGTAAATTGTATATACTGTGAAGTCTTTGGATTTTAGAATATTGATGTAATGTGAATGGACAAGAATCGGTGACAAGTTTAATGCAAATTCACAGTCAAAATAATTTTTTCTTGATTCAAGGACACATGAAAAACATTTATACAATATTACTGCGAGCTGCAAGGCTATTGTAGATGTGTATGTGCTTTTTTACATCATGGCTACTGTTGCTTTACAAAATTCTGTATGCTCTTCAATCTTATCTTCAAAGAAAGATATCTTCAGGTTATCTTCAAAAAATTGTCATCAAAGAAAAAGTAGTAAACTATAGCTTGATGATAATTCACTTGAAAAAACGGAATGGCTGAAATACACAAATATATGTCACAAATTGGCTGATGCTTTTTTTGTACTTCTGAAGGCTTAGCTTTTGCAGGTGCATTTTGCAATGATTATTTTACCTCCATATGACAATTAAAATGTAGGAGTTAAAATAGCTTTCTCTGCCATCTGTAATATGGATTTCTTGATTTGAATGCTGGAACCACACTTTTGAATTACAGTGTTGATGTAAAATGCTTTGACTAAGATTTCCCCCCACCTTATTGGTGAGTCACTGCTGGTGGACTGTCCTTTTCATTCTGTACAGTCAGTTGTACTGCTGGTATGCTGTTCATAAATACTTGTTCGATTGTATGAATAAAACAGTTGGCTTGTGTATTATGCAGTAGTGGTAATAACTTCGTAAATGAATGTTGATATCCAGCAGGGCAAGGGGAGGAAAGGAATGGGCTGTCCTGAGCCTTGTGATAAGTAGGTTGGGGATGTAACAGCTGTATAGGGTTAATTGGCTAATACAATCTTAAGTAGTAAAATAATTTCCCCTAGGTTTTTTTTTTCATGTCAGGAGCGACCTGAGAAACTACAAGTCTCTTCTGGTGTGAGAGAATATTGCCCAGGGGATACCTGGATGTGTAATGTTTTACCACCCTGTGAGAGGCTTCCCTCATTTTTCCACATAGGAAGCTATAGCTCAACAGATGGAAGCTTACCCTGCTCCCCAGACTCAAACAGCCAACCTTTTGGTTGCCTTGTTCAGCCAGCACGAAGGTTTAACCCATTGTGCCACCGGGGGCTCTGATTCACTTCCCCTAGTGAACTCCTAGTTTAATAGGTCCTGATCAACTGATGATGGTGGGATGTCTATTGTACTGAAATCTAGGGGGAGAGAGCCAATGGGAGGTTCTTCACACAAATCAAAGAATAATAGAAACAGAGCTGGAAGAGACCTCATAGGCCATCCAGTCCAACCCCCTGCCAAGAAGCAGGAAAATTGCATTCAAAGCATCCCCGACAGATGGCTATCCAGCCTGTTTAAAAGTTTCCAAAGAAGGAGCCTCCACCACACTCTGGAGAGAGTTCCACTGCTGAACAGCTCTCACAGTCAGGAAGTTCTTCCTTATGTTCAGATGGAATCTCCTTTCTTGTAGTTTGAAGCCATTGTTCTGCATCCTAGTCTCCAGGGCAGCAGAAAACAAGCTTGCTCTCTCCTCCCTATGACTCCCTCTCACATACTTATACAAAATGAGAAAGTGCTATTTAACATGCTGATCTCTCTTGAGTTGAAGATGATTCATAATTATTTCCTGCCAAGACTTTAAACTAGCCAATTAATGTATCTGTGTAATGAAAGAAATTAATAGATTGGTAACTAAGAAGATATAGAGTTCCCACTAGCTGGTATCTAGCACACCGCGATTTTGTTCGTAACCCTATGCAGAGTCCAGGAACAAAACAATAAAGCCAGATTGATGTGTTTCTCTCCCATTTCTATGAAAGTAATCAAAGCAATTAAAATAAAACTATAAAACAGTACCATGCTGACAAGGGGACATCAATCATACACTAATGGAATGAATCCCAGAACAAGCACAGATAAAGGGGCGAATCTACATTGTAGAATTAATGCAATTTGTCACCACTTTAACTGTCACGTCTCAATGCTGTGGAATCTGGGAGGTGAGGTTTTGGTGTGTCACCAGCACTCTGGAAGAAAAAGCTCAAGAACTTGTAAAACTGCAATTCCCATGGAGCCATGTCAGCTTGAAGTAGTAATGAACTGCATTAATTCTGCAGTGTAATTGCACCCTAGGTCCTAGCAGTCCAGTACTGTACATGTAAAGGAGCCCATGATTGATCTAATTAAAAATTTGCATGTTTGTGCTGAGAGACAATCTCACAAAATCCAGCACCTAATCCAGAGCCTTAAAATTGAAAACCAACACCCAGTCGCACCCAGTAAATAATTGACAGCCAGTGCAGAAGTTTCCCAATTCTACTTTATGAGATAAAGCAGTAAGTTATAAGTAACAAACATCTAAATAATATAAAAATCTATTGCAAATAGGACATTGTCCAGCAAGCCCATTGTAAAAGTGTAGAATCTAAAATAGTATGTTTTACAAGTATAAAGCATTTTGAAGACAATTGGGGCATATATCCTTATGCCTGCAGTTTTGTTTGTTTTTTTTTTTTTTGTCATGTCAGGAGCGACTTAATAATGATAGGAACTTGGCAGGACTTTGCTCAAGTAAAGGTGCCTGTCAACTTTGTTGTTGTTTATTCGTTCAGTTGTTTCCGACTCTTCGTGACCTCATGGACCAGCCCACGCCAGAGCTCCCTGTCAGCCGTCATCACCCCCAGCTCCTTCAAGGTCAATCCAGTCACTTCAAGGATGCCATCCATCCATCTTGCCTGTCAACTTTAGCAGAAACATTTTGTTTCATCGAAGGGTTTCTTTTCGATCACTGGGAAATGGAGCTCTAGGGAGCACAAACTACAGAAGCTCTGGAGGACCAAAAAGAGCTAGGAAGATAAAATAATGCTCTTTTGGGATTATGCTTGTGATGTTTTGAAAGCAGCGCTTAATCAGGCAGGGCAACTGGCCAAAGAAGGGGCTTTGCAATAATTCATTAAATACTCAGCAACATTCCACATTGTCAAAGGTTAACTGCTGTCAGCAAAGTAACCATAAAAGGCAGAAAGCTCTTCAAATAGGGATGTCTTTAATTTTAGCTACTTTGGTCTCTCCATAATTGAGGTGTTTTACAGCAAAACTACAAAAAAAAAGCCTCTTAATATAATAATGAGAAACAAGGTGAAACAGAAACAGGTCATCTGCTGGTATGCAAAAAAAATTTATTAAGCTTTCCTAATGATCCAATTCCTAAAAACTTGCACTGATTCTGTGCTTTCCCCTCCTACACAATCATTGACGGTACTTGGCTTCTCGTGCTACAGTAACTGGTTAATGAATGCTGACATTACCATTACTGAAGGGATTCAGGAAGTTTTCTTTATTCTCTGAAGCAGTGGCTCTCAAAGTGTGCTCCGTGGAGCCCTTGGGGCTCTGCAAAGCATCCCGAGGGGCTTTGCAGTTCCCTATGCCCCTTTTAAGCTTTCCCTCCTCTTTCCTGTTCCTCTCCCTCCCTCACTGCCAAAAGCCTTTTTTCCTCACCTTCACCATCCAGATCGCTTTCCCCCTCGCCTTCCTTGCTTCCAAAACCCTATTTTCCTCCCACCTTTGTAATAATAATAATAATAATAATAATAATAATACAGAGGATGAGTGGCCCTCTGTTGGGGGTACTTTGATTGTGCTTTTCCTGCATGGCAAAAGGGGCTTGGACTGGATGGCCCCTGGGGTCTTCCACTGAAACACCATTAAGTTTGTGTTGGTCAAAAAGTTTGCTCAAGCTGGATATACACACATTATATATAATATAATATGTAAACATTTCTTGGGACTTTATGAGAAAAAATTACTTCAAAAAGGGCTCTGCAGCTGAAAAAGTTTGAGAATTCCTGCTCTAAATTAATTCAGGAAATTGTTTTGTCTCGGCAAGCTTTTCTGTACAGTACGTTACATGCTTTATATCCTTCTTCCTGAACACCGTGGGTATGTGTCAGAGAAGTCACGTTGAATACAAATGAAGCAGCCAACACTGAAAAGGGAGCCATATATGCAGACACGGGGAGTTTTTTTTTAATCTGACTCCATTATGTAAGTGGGTACTGATGAAGCTTTATTTATTCGGTTAATGGGGAAATAGACCATATTATTATTTATTTAGGTTGCTGTGAGTTTTTCGGGTTGTATGGCCATGTTCCAGTAGCATTGTCTCCTGACGTTTCACCTGCATCTATGGCAGGCATTCTCAGAGGTTGTGAGATCTGTTGGAAAACATGGCCATACAGCTTGGAAAACGCACTGCAACCCAGTGATTCCGGCCATGAAATACTTCAACAACCCATATTATTTCTTTTATTAACTTTTATTTTTATCCTACCCTTTCCCTGATAATAAGGACTCAAGGTCATATTGTTCCTATATCTCCAAGAGATGTCTGGGGTTTTCCAGGAAGCCTTAGGCCCTCAGAATTTTGTCTTAAATAATGATGTAGGCCCCTTCTATACTGCCATATAAAATTCAGATTATCTGATTTGAACTGGATCATATGGCAGTGTAGACTCATCATCCAGTTCAAAGCAGGTGTGGATTCTCTGATTTGATAATCTGGATTATATGGCAATGTAAAAAGGGCCTTAGACTCATTATTTCTAGAGATAATATATGAGATGTTTAAGCCTTTTATGGCTCACACATTTCCATACAGGAAATAGCGCAAACTTAGAGTTAAGAGGTTTGAATGTTGAGCAGGGGGTGCATATACACTGTTGGATCAATGCAGTTTGACATCACTGGGTTGTTGTGGGTTTTTCGGATTGTATGGCCATGTTCTAGAAGCATTCTCTCCTGACATTTCGCCTGCATCTGTGGCAAGCATCCTCAGAGGTGGTGAGGTTTGTTGGAAACTGGAAAATTGGGTTTATAGCTAGGTGTGAATGTTTCAACTGGCCACCTTGATTAGTATTTGATGGCCTGACAGTTTTTAGATGTGACTTGTTACTGCCTGGGAAATTTCCTTGTTGAGAGGTGGCCAGGTGATCCTGATTTTTTCCTGGCTGGAGTTCTCCTATGTTTGAGTCTTGTTTTTCATTTGCTGTTATAATTTTAGAGTTTTATAGTGCTGGCAGTCAGACCCTGTTCACTTTCATTGCCTCCCCCCCCCCCCCCCCCCCCAAGTCGGATACTCCACCTCAGACATCAGAAGAGCTACAAGACCGAGAACAAGCCACGAGAGTCAAGACAAAGATCCACCCAGAGGAAAAGTGTTCTTGCCATACATCAAGGGAACGACTGACCGCATAGGGAAGCTGATGAAGAAACACAACCTACAAACAATCTACATACCCACCAAGAAAATCAAACAAATGCTACGTTCAGCAAAGGACAAGAGGGATCCTCTCACCACTGCAGGAGTCTACCGTATACCATGCAGCTGTGGACAAGTCTACATAGGGACCACCAAACACAGCATTGCCCAAACACGAATCAAGGAACATGAAAGGCACTGCAGACTACTTCAACCAGAGAAGTCAGCCATAGCAGAGCACCTGATGAACCAACCTGGACACAGCATTTTATTTGAGAACACAGAAATGCTGGACCACTCCAACAACCACCATGTCGGACTACACAGAGAAGCCATTGAAATCCATAAGCATGTGGACAATTTCAGCAGAGAGAGGGGGGGGGCAACATGAGACTGAACAAAATTTGGTGGCTACCAGTACTTAAAAATTCTAAGTACTGGTAGCCA